CCTTGACAGGCAGACACGCCTCTCAGCCTGAGTGTGTTTTGCATTATGCTTACAGAAAGAACCGCAGCTGCAACAAAAAGCTTCAGACGATCATCAAAAGATTGGGATGTCTCATGCTGGCAATAATGACATGTTATTATGATTCACTCGCTTCTTTAATCAGCTCATTCTGTGTGTCTGTGTTCAGTACAGTGTTGTATAAGCATGTCAGTGAATGCTTCTTGGTTTTGTATTAAGCATAGCACGCTGACCTTTAAATATGATTTCTTTGCCACTTCAACGTTTGATCAAATCTGTTGAGAAACAGGAAGATTGTGATTCATCAGTTGGAGGAGGGCTCACGCCTACACGAGGAAAAAAATCCTCTTCTGAATGGCAAGATAGCAGACTCCTGTTAGAGCCGTATAATGTTTCTGTGCTAATGAAATGTCACATCTAGTTCTTTCAGATAAATATCAGCTTAATACGTTTCTAGTCAGCCTGTGACCAAAAAAACGGTAAATTAGCTCCATCAGATGAGGATAAAAGCCCAACACCTTTGACAGTGTTGATTTAATTTTACATACATTGCCTCTACGGATTTGACGACCTGCTCTCCATGAAACCTTTCAGATCTATAAACAGACTGTTTAAAGCTGAGGTTTGGTGTGAGGCTGCAGAGACTGAGCAGAGCTGGTGGAGGCGAGCAGTAATCTAATGAGCAGAGGGGTGGATGGAGGTAAATGATCCACAGACAGCAGAGACGCTGCAGCTGATTGATCAGAAGCAGAAAACCCAGACAGAGCTCAGGTTCCCAGACCTTCTTCCATTTTAAGCCTTAAAATAACAGCAATTACTGCGTGTCAAAAGAAGCTAAACGTGGAAACTACTGCAACTGAATTAACGACTACATCAAAAGAAGCACCTGCAACCAAACATGGCAATTGATGCGACACTTGTAACTAAACATAGCAACCACATCAAACAAACAAACTAGTGGAATGACAGAAGCTGGAAATAAATATGGCAACTACTGCAAAATAATGCAGCCAAACAACCACGCGTCAGCGGAGGAAACTGCAACTAAACATAGCAACTGCTGCAACCACACCAAGCAGTTACGAAGTATAAAGTATAGCAACACCAGCCAAATAGATCAAATTGAGCCTCAATGCCAGCTGTCAGCAGCTACTCTAAATAAACCTGCGACTACTGAAAATGTGATTAAGCATCACTACTGTGCAACTAAACCAATTACTGTAGTATCAGCAGCACCTGCAGCACGGAAGCTACTGCAACCAAACAACAACCACTAAACCAGCTACTGCAGTGGCAGCAAGACCTACAGCTATACAAGGAATCCACTCCAACTAAGCCAACCAATTTAAGCAACACATGTAACCAAACACAGGTCAAAAAATAAGCCTCTCCTGCAAGTACATCAACTACTGTAACAAAGGCAGCACCAGGGATTAAACATGGGAAGTACAGCAACTAAACCAAACAGCAGCTAAAGCTTTGGTTTTAAATTCATAACAGCAGCATTTGGGCCTGTAAAGGTTATTTATAGGCAAAGAGTCTGTTTTTGTAATTCCTCTCAGGATTTCTGTAGTTCCTCTCATTGCTCGTAGCCTGTAGAGGCCTTTGTTTCCACAATAATTCAATTTTTTATTACAATTTAATAAAACGTTGTCAAAGTCAAACCAGACACTGAATACAGCATCTTACCGCCACAGCCTCCAGAATCTGCTTGATGACATGAGCGGCATCTCTCTCACTGTAGTAACCACGTTCCACAATCCTGGAAACAAAAATACAGTCAAAGATAAAATGACATGAAAATCAAGAGCAGCATCTCTTTATCTGTTCTCTGATTGATTACACTTTACTAATGCACGTGTTTGTCTGGTTCGGTTTTCCAAGAGAGATGTTGGAACAAGCTGTTAGTACTTTCATTCTCTTTGACTTTTGCATCTCAGTTTAGAAGTCTCAGGACAAAATGAGCAAACCGCTGTAGCTGTTGCAGTTGTAGCCTGTAAAAATGGCAACTTATACAGTCAAAACAACCACATCACATTACACCAACAACGCCACCGAAACACAGCAACACCTGCTTCAACTAAACATGTTAATTTATGTAAATGACCAATCGCTGACACGGAAACTTCAGTAACACCTCCAGTAAACATGACAAGTTCTTTAATAACAGCATGAGTAACTTAACACAGGGGCCTCTGTGCCCAAACATAGAACTTCAGTTACAGAAACGTCTGTAACCGGACACAGCAACTCCTAAAACACCCAAAGTACAGCAACATCTAACCATGGCAACCACTGCAACTACAGGAAAACTGCCAAGTTAAGTGATTGGTTCATTAGCAGGAATTGTGCTCTTAACTATAGCAACCAAACATCACAACTTTTGCAGCAAAACCAGCCTCTGCCACTACAGCCACACTGCCAACCCTGAACAAAACCATATACCAAAAATAGACGATTGCAACTTTCGCTACTCCACCAATCACAACAGCTGCTGCAGCAAATCTAAACACACCAACCCAACATCTGTAACTAAACATAACAACAAAATGGATCGAGCCAAACTCCACTATTCACCATCTCGATCAACACCTGCAACTGGCCAACCAACACAACTGATGCAGCATGTGCAACCACTGATGATACAGCAATGCATATACCTACACACACCACTGAAACTAATGTAACAAATGCAGCACAGCAACTACTGCCATTACAACTGCACAACAGCTACTGTAACTGAACTGCAGACTACAGCCCAACTTGTAATCAAAGATTTCTCAAACTAAGCCAACCAGTGATACTTTCAATTAAACACAAAAACTACAGCAATGTCAGTAGGACAGCTAAAGCAGCTAATGTGAGTGTGTACGTACCGGTCAAAGAGCTCTCCTCCAGTCACCAACTCCAGCACCAGAGCAATGTCTGTGTCTGTCTCAAAGATCTCCTTCAGCTGGATCTGAGCCACAGGAAAGCACAAGAAGCCAGAAATATATTAAAAATGCATGAGCGAATACTGAGAGTCATATATGTAAATAACAATGTCCATATAAAAATAGAACTTCAGTGGGACTGTTGTTATTTGCTCAAATTACTGGTAATTGAATAATTCACTGTAAGAGTGCAAAAATGTCCAGTTTTGTCAAAGCAATTGGTGTTCCTCAGTGACACATGAAGATGTCGTATAGAATAGCATCCTGGGTTTGGTTGTGTCATTCCCAACTCTAATGTGAACGATATAAGCACAATCTTTTCCTAAACCATTTCAGGATTTTAAGTGTCTGAACCTACTAATTATCTATCAGCGTAAAACCTAAACCTAACCTAACTAAGCACTTTATAGAACCTAATCTTAACCAAGTTGTTCCTATTCGTCCATCCACCCATCCAATAATCCATTTCAGGGTGGATTAGATGTTAATTAATACAACTTAATCCCAGCCTAGGCCTGTTTCAAGGATCTTTCAGAGCCTAAACCCAGCCTTTAAAACCTAAGTAGCTTTTAGTGCCAAAGCCTAACCACCAGGTAAACAACAGGCACTAACTGAAACTGCACTAATAGTGAAGGCAAAACCAACTGATTCTGCCTCTGGTACATAAACACTCAATATCACTTAAAACATGCTTGAGAAGAGCAAACACTTTGAAGTATTTTTGAACTTTAAAAGCAGGAACATAGTAACAAGATTTTTTTTCATGTTTCCAGTCATCATTGTCCCAGATTCAACAAATAAAGAAACAAACATGAAACAGACAATAGACAGTTCAATACTTAAAGTACAATAAAAAAGCCCACACATCACGTACTTTGATGTGGTGCAGTTCATCGACCTGCTTTTAAAATAGTACTAAGAAAAGAAAAACAGAACTGATGCGTCAGTCTTGTCTTAAATAAAATATTAGAATACATGCTATAGCTTGCATACTTGGTAGATGAACTCTGGGCCGTGCTCAGACTGAAATAAAGTTGAATCTAAATTCTTACAAGCTCATAAACAAGTGTTTTAGCTCACATTAAAGGGTCGTGTTTAAAATCAGTGATACAAAGAAAAGAGAGATTTATGGGGAAAATTTTAGAGTCGACTGAATATAAGAGAGATTATTCAGTCACACCAGACCAGGTGAATGTGAACATGAACAATAAAAATGAACTGATTTATTCTGCATATTATAAAGTAAGCTGTTAATTCATGTCCTGGCAGAACCCGAAGTGTCTGTTTTGGTGTTTTCTTCCATATTTTCATATTTTGCACTTATTTCAACTATTTGTGACTCACATGAATGGACCAAGAATAATTCCTCAAAGCTGTCCGCTGGACATTCTGGACTTTGTTTACACTAATTCGATTAGATGTGTGGTCATCTAATCGAATCACTTCATCACTTCATCACTAAATCACTTTAAGCATATTTGCACTGCACAAGACACA